AGCGCGAAAGCAGATTTAAATTCAGCAGTTGATGAGGTGACGCACTGAAAGTTCTAATCACACCAGTGTGATCGTACGCTTCAGGGACCAGCCAAGACTGATCACACCGGTGTGATCGTATGCGTTAAAGGGTTAAACTATCATATGGCTTCAGAAGTAACACAGAATAATTCGCACAATCGAAAAAACATTTTTTTTCGGATTTAGATCGGCCCTCTCTGACCGATACCCGATCCGAGAAAAATGGCACTATGGGAGCCGATACCCGATATGAATATCGGATCCGCGCATCCCTAATTTACAGACAGGAAACATTAGTGGCAGCGGGACCATAAAAATTGATTATTTCATTAAAAAGACTGAAAGCAAACCCATCAATATTTTAAGGACTTTTTGTAATTTTAATGTGTACTGGTCCTGAAAAAAAGAGAATGTGGGTTGAAATGTTTAATCAGCATCACAGATAGAGGGACAATATAAAGTGTTCTACCATATAATTAACTGCACAGATTGTTCTACTGATGTCCTTTTTAACACTCACAATCTTTCTCTCCATAACTGGCATTGATTTGTATGTATGTGTGTTTAAATAAGGTGCATGCATTAAAGATTCAAAGAGGCACAGCTGGAGAGAAGGGAAACAGTACATTACATTGCATGTCGTTAGTCCATTAGTCCATGGTCATTTAGCAGACGCTTTTATCCAAAGCGACTTACAAATGAGGACAATAGAAGCAATCAAAACTAACAAAAGAGCAACAATATGTAATGTAACGGGCAGTTTTAGCAATGTGGTCTGAGAAATTCAGCTTATCATCAATCACAACTCCAAGGTTTCTAGCTGTTTTAAAGGAGTTATGGTTGATGAGCATAACTGGATGGTAGGGCTGTGCAAAAAATCGAATGCGATTTTCATGCACATCTCGTCAGTAAAACCGCTCCTGTGATTAGTAGTAAATCTCCAGCACGTGCTTTCAGCTGGAGCGGCATTTACTACACAGAGCCGTAGTAGCAGTGATATGAAAAGCCATGTTTCTGAATGACAGAACCTAGTGATGCCATGTAGACAGAGAAGAGAAGTGGTCCAAGAACTGAGCCATGAGGCACCCCAGTAGCTAGATGTTGCGACTTGGACACCTCACCTCTCCAAGTTACCTCGAAGGACCTATCTGAGAGATAAGACTCAAACCACTGCCGTGCGATTCCTGAGATGCCATTTTCCAATAGGGTTGACAGGAGAATCTGGTGGTTCACCATATCAAAAGCAGCAGACAGATCCAGCAAAATAAATATAGAAGATTTGGAAGCTGCCCTTGCCAGTCTTTTGGAAGCTGCTCTTGCCAGTCTTAGGGCTTCAACAACTGAGAGCAAGGCAGTCTCTGTCGAATGTCCACTTCTGAAGCCAGTTTGGTTGCTGTCCAGGAGGAAGTTCTGTGTGAGAAAGGCAGAGACTTGGTTGAACACAACTTGTTCAAGTGTTTTTGCAATGAAAGGTAGAAGGGAAACCGGTCTGTAGTTCTCTAAAAGAGTTGGGTT